TACCAACTAAGTGATTGCGAATTTTGTCGATAGATGGCTTTTTAAAATCAGCAATGACTTAGTTGCCAACCTAATATTAGATACCCCCTTGCAATAGCGCAATTTTTATTTTAAGTTTTTTAATACTATTGCAAACAAAAGAAAATATTTAAATGTTCATATATATAATCCATTCTAATACAATATATTATATATATATAAATTAAACTATCAAATTATATATAGATAAACTACAGATCTACAGCTTGAGGTTAAAAAAAGATTTTGTAAAAAAAAAATTAAAGAGAAAGAAATAGAAAGAGAGAATAACTTTTATAGAAAGAAATTCCGTTTCTTGTACGATCGATGCACCCGTACTAGAACCTAGTCGGACGCAGTAACAATTTACTTTGTGAAATAGAAAAAGGAAGGAAGATGAAGAATGGGGAATAAGGAGAGAGACAGATAGAGTAAAAGTTTAGGATAAATATTGGAAGAAGGCAAGTAGAGCGTGTACGCTAGGAGACGTTAGTTTCTCGCTCGTTATAACCGAGTTCCAGGACGAAGGTAGTCGACGAGTTGACGCAACACGTGTCCCGATCTCACCTATGTCTCTCTTACACTCTTTCCTTCTCTCTCTCTCTCTCCTCCTTTTTCTTTATCTCATTAAAAGAAACCTTAACAAAACCTTGACAGATCAGAAGATAGTTCGGTAAAAGAGATAAAGTTAAAGAAATGTGAATGATAGTCCCTGTTACGTTTCATGACGAATCGGTTTTTGATTAGTATTTAATTGAATAAGTAATTTGGTGAACACCCTGTGTCTGTAAATAACACACACACATACAAAGTTTATTAGATTTCATATAAAGTTATTCGTAGGTATTGGACTATCATATTAGCAATAGTCTTCATTACACGTTGCTCGAACGGCACAATCCCAGAACGGCCTTCTCATCTGCCTCTGATCATTTCGCACGCAATTTGGAGTGATGCCAGAACGTGGTTGCCCGCGACCATAGTGTATAAGGTTGCTGCTCCTACTGATAGTAGAGAGGGAATGAGAGAAGGTGAGAGAGAGAGAGAGAGAGCGGCTAACCTAGAGTGGGATAGTTTCAGAGAAGAGAAGGAGGTGCAGATATCAGAGAGAAGGTATACGAGAGTTTAGATTGTGAGATAGAACAGAAGGTAAGTTGGTAGGTAGGTTGGCTGGTTGGTTGGTAGATAGCTAGCTAGCTAGCTAGGTTGGAAGGCTTCGAAGGTTGCAAGCTACCTACCACCAACCTACCTACCTAGTCCGATCAGGTTCTCATTCTAGAGGGTGTGCCCTTCCTACACCTCAATGGATTGCCAAACGACCACAATCCCAGCACCACCACCATCACTACTACTACTACAACTGCTACTACTACTACTACTGTTACTACTATCACTACTATCATCAACACCAGTACTAAAGAGTTCCCGGACCATCCGAAGAATCTGATCGCCAGCTATTAAATTTCTATCGGAACTGGGATTAATCGGTAGCCTAGTTCTTTTTTTCAATTTTTTTTTCTCCTTTCTAACACAGTACTTATATCAAATATCTATTCCTCGATTATTTTCATCTAATTTTAATTCTATTAAATCGTTCATTGATTATTCGGGTCATTTATACTCTAATAGATCTTTTAGATTTTATATTTGACCCAATTTATTCACAATGAGATGAAATTTTGAATGCATTTTTAGTAGCCATTTGTTAAATTATTATTTATATTTAAGAAAATATTTATTCGCATTGATCATTTATTTTTTTTTTTTAAATATCAATAACAAAATTGTTATTTATATTTGTAATTAATTTAAATTATTAGATAATTGAAAATTATTATCATTAGCTGTTATTTTTTTATCAAAATTTATTAAGGAAATCCTTAAAAATCAGCTGTTTATGATATATTGGTTTAAGTATTCAGAAAAATAAGAGGGAAAACTCGGTAAGAATCTTCGGTAAAGTTGGAGGGAAGCTTTCGTTGCGAGAGGACTCGGCTATTTTACTCCGGTGTTTACCCAAGCGATCCCAAGGGAACGCTTTTACATTTTTATCGGGTTGTTTGGTCCTCGACCTTGGGTAATTCTTCCAAACAAGACAGTGACGATCATTGGAATGCGAAAGCTTAGTGAGATTTATCCCTTTAACAATAAATATTTTGGATTGATTTATGATCCCATTTAAAAAAAAAAATCTTAACCTTAAAATATCAAAATCTTTGACCTTTTTCATGAATATATTATCAATAAAACTAAAATTAAAAAAAAAACAAAGGTTTAGAAATCGACGATTTTTTTACGATTTCTTCCTTTCTAACAAGAAACTAACTCAACAATAACCAGCCTAATTTTAGGAAAGAATCTTTTTTTAAGATTAATGATAGAACCAATACTTCAGGAAATTGGGGTGGATCAAGGTGGACATTTTGTTAAGATCGTCTCGATCAATGTTTTGATCTTTCTCTAACATTTAGTCTATTTCTAGATAATGGCAATTAGTTGAACGATTACTAGTAGTAGTGCTTAACTGATCAATGATGCATTCACTAATGTTTAAATATTCCTTACCTGTCTAAGTTAGTTTTTCAGATTACTTTATTCTTTCCTTATCTCTCTCTCTCTTTTTTTCTATCTTTATCTGATGAAGCCGCTAAAACGTCCAGAGCCGACAAAAATTTCTGAACTTTCCGTAATCAAAGTTCTTCGTTTCTCACAGTTCGACTTTTCTAGAAATTTTCTAAAGTGTAAAATAATGTATAGCAATCCAAAGGATGAGGCATACTCTCTGTCTCTCTCTCTCTCTCTCTTTCTCTCATACCACTCCTATCTACTCGAAGGAATTATTAACGAGCTAAGAGTTGCGTGCTGGGTAGACAGTAAAAAAAAAAGAAAAAAAAGAAAGAAAATATTAGAAAGAGAAAGGGAGAGAGGTGGAAAGTGCAAAGATAGGCTTTGAAAGAAAAATCTTGGAAAGGTACGACAAAGTAAACGAATAAGAACGATGAAGGAGAAGAAAAGAAATAGAAAAAAAAATAAAAAGAAGAAGAAGAAGGACCTAACCTAAGGAAAAGGAATAGAAAAGAGATACATATATATATATATATATATATATATATAGTGAACGTGGGGAAAAAGTGTACGACCATCTTGGTACACTGTGCGCGTCGGATAAATTTTCAATCGGACAAATTCTGAAGGGGTACCCTCTCCCCGCCTGAACACAGCTGAACAAGTTTAAAAATCGATGCTGTCTCGAAGCATCTTCTCTTCTTTTCTCTCCTTTTAGCTTTTTCAACTCAAACGATGCTTCCTCTATCTTCATCTTTCTTCCTCCATCTTCCTCTCCCACTTTTCAGTTGCCTCCATTTCTTACATCGTCCTACGCTCTCACCTTTCCACCTTTCTCCTCCCACCCCTTTTTTCTTCAAACCTCTGAAAGAGGAAAGAAACGTACCTTTTTTACTTCTTTCCAGAATATCCAAAGGTGAACGAATACGTGCAGTGCACTGCATAAAAGCATATCCTGCAACACAATTTTCCAACGATCTCGAACTATATATATATATATATAAAACAGCCGCTTGTGAAAATTCCCGCGTTAAACGAGATAATGTTTGCCCTCTGCAATTTTCAACCCCGATTCTCCTACTAGGTCTCTCCTCGAAATTGTCGCCATTTTTCTACTAACTCCTAACAATTTTTTATTCGTTTCTATATTGAATTTTTCTAATCGAATTTTCATTAGCTTACAAACTACGTTTCACCAGTTTTCTTTTTTACTTTTTTTTATTTTATTTTATTCAATATGGACACCTATATAAACGCCTGTTGTTTTCTTTTTTTTGGTATTTCTTATCTGACAATAAAAATTTGTTTGAAAGATAATGTAACTTTTAATAGAATCGAATGTTGAAAATTGAGACTAGTCGAATGAAATTAGAATTCAACATTATTACAAGTACATACGTATACATATTTATTTGTATGTGTGTATTTATATGTAGGTTGCAATTCTAAATCGAAAATAGCAGCAAGTAGTACAATTACGATTCGGTTTCCCACGTCCTACTTAAATATTCATGAATTCTAATGGCGAATATATTTTCTCTACTAGCTCGTGCCAATACCGATGACTGAAGTAGTTAATACCAACTGCCTTTGGCATCCATCTTTACTGCTTCATCTGCTAAATATCCTCTTTTAAAACGTATTTACCTATCTTTTAAATTTATTTCTACTACGTCTGTCTTTCTTTTAAATTTATTATCGGATGATACTTTGCAAATAACATTGAAAAAATGTTACAAAAATTATTATAGTTAAGAATAAAATATTATACAATATGCGATTAATGAAAACATTTATTTCGATTACTTTTGTATTTAAAAATTCATAATTGCAAAATCAATAAATAAAAAATTGAAAGAATAATGCGACTGTAAAGAAAATATATTTGAACTCATTGAAACGTAATTGTATCATCAAATAAATAAATTTATAATTTCTGATAATTATTAACATGATTTAAACAATTATCAAACATTTATTAATTAAATTAAAAGTATACAAAAATTAAAAAACCCCAAAAGATCATAAGCTTTTTGAATTCATTATCGGAATATAAAATTATACCAGATCTAGGGAAAATGGCGCTGCTATTACGAAATTCGATGTTAGGTAATTCTCTAGGATCCAGTCTATCATGATACGTTACAAAAATACGAATGGTGGTGCCATCTAAACAATAGTACTTCTTACTGTCGATAAGAAAAATATTTTCCGTAACTACCGATGATAATCATAAAGATTAAAAATTGAATAAAAAATATAAAAAATCATAAACTTAACAAAAAATATATTAAAAATCCAATTTAACTTAGAAAGAAATCAACCAAAAGTCGTATATAAAAATATTGCATAGTTTTAAAAAAGAATTCTATTTGTATGTTGGTAACCATGAATAAACGAATGACATCATAGCATTTTATTCAAAATGTGGATAAGTTGTTGAAATAAAGTATTAAATAAGAGTACTCGTTATAATTTTAATTTAATATCGTTTTGTTTATTAAATAAAAATCCATCATGGATTTTCAAAATCGACCAGGTGGAAAAACAGGAGGTGGTGGTGTGGCATCGTGGTCAGAAAGTAATCGGGATCGACGAGAGAGGTTAAGACAATTGGCATTGGAAACAATCGATCTCAACAAGGATCCGTATTTTATGAAAAATCATTTGGGCTCGTACGAGTGTAAATTGTGTCTGACGTTGCACAATAACGAGGGTAGTTACTTGGCTCATACTCAAGGAAAAAAACATCAAGCTAACCTAGCAAGAAGAGCAGCCAAGGAAGCTAAAGAAGCACCCCAAACGCTTGCACCAGAAAAACCTAGAGTTGAACCAAAAAAATTTGTTAAGATTGGACGACCTGGTTACAGAGTGACTAAACAGAGAGACCCAGAATCAGGACAACAAAGTTTACTATTTCAAGTTGATTATCCTGAAGTTGCAGACAATGTAATTCCTCGTCACAGGTTCATGTCTGCTTATGAGCAAAGAGTTGAACCACCAGATCGTAAATGGCAATATTTGCTATTCGCTGCTGAACCTTATGAAACTATAGCGTTTAAGGTACGAATGATTTATAAATCTAAACCTTTAACTAACACTATTCTCATATTTTTACTATGTTTACAATAATAATATTATTATTTATAGGTGCCAAGTAGAGAAGTGGAAAAAGCAGAAGGAAAATTTTGGACACACTGGAACAAGGATACCAAACAATTCTTTTTGCAATTTGCATTCAAGAACGAGAAGCCATCCGTAGGCAAAGTTCCACCTCCACCAGTGCCACTAATTCGACCAGGATTACCACCAATGGTACCTGTACCACCACCTCCTAGACCACCAATATTTAATCCAGTTCCACCACCTCCGGCATTATTACCATCGGGGATGCAAATTCCACCTCCTCCACCTCATATAGCTTAATTTTAATTCACGTATATATGCAAATATACTATATATAATAAATAATTATAATTAAGGGAAAATATTGAACGTAATACTTTTAAAAAATCTGATTTTTATAAATTTTATTAAGAATATGTACACAGTGAAAGTACTTGCGTCGAATCCTCCAAGTTTCCTATAATCAAAATGACATTCGTAATTAATTATTTTGAAATTAATATTAAATCATAATTTCATTGTAATCTAAGTAATTCAGTAGTACAATAGTAGAACAATCCCCATATTATTTCAAGTGTTGTACGCACTCAGTAAGACCGCCCGTTCGTATTGTCATCATAATAAAAATTATTTAAAAAAAGATACTATATATCAAATAAAATTAGAATTAAACGTACGTAAAACTTATGCGGAAAGAACGCATGCACCGCCAACTGCCTTGATTTTGTCTTCTGCCAATTTACTGAAGAATTTTGCTTTTACGATGACTGGTTGCTTAGGAAGCCGACCTTTTCCCAAGAGTTTGTAATATCCCTGAAAAATACAAAACAAAACCCATAAAAATACATCCCTAAAGAATTTATATATTTATAAGATTTGTGAAACAAAAATTGTACCCTTGAGCTGACTGCACCAAGACTGAACAATGACTGACTGATTCAACACGTGTAAACTGAGTATAATACTCGATACTACATTCCATAATTATTTTATATTTGACCCGTAAAAAATGAATCACCGATCTCCAGTATTGTTACAGTGCAAAGGGTTAAAATGAAAAATATTGTTAATAGAATAAACTTACAGCTTTAACCAAATCGATAACAGGTACTTTGTTTTCCATTTTAGCGTACTGTAGCCTTCTGTGTTCGGGTAACAATGCCCATAATTTGTCTAAATTTAAGGTAGGGCACCATTTTGTGTTACGACGTAAATGGTAATTTCTCATACCAAGCTAGAAAACAAAAAGTAATCATTAGGACTATTGATTTTTAATATTCATGTTAACTCGTGTAGAAAACATTTTTTATACAATTACATTGTTGTAAAAAGTTTCTTACCTTACCGAAGTAACCAGGATGGTACTTATCAAAGTTGATACGGTGATGGTGAAGACCACCAGCATTACCGCGACCACCGGGGTGCTTCCTGTGTTTACCTAGATAAAATTAAATAATTAATTAATTAACATGTATTAGAAAAAGATTTTACAATGATTCATGGTATGTTGTTTGTAACAAAAGAACTAACCTATACGACCATGTCCATGACTTACGTGCCCACGCAACTTCCTTGTCTTTTTCTTATGTGTCGACTAAAAACAAAAAAAATAATTTCATTTAATAATATAATTTAAAAAATACATTGTAAAACAAGACTCATTGATATTTTAAGAGCACACAAGTGGGAAGAGAAATGTAATATTTATAAATTCATATTGTGGTAAAAATGAGAAAATTGTTAAATTAATATAAACTTTAAAATATACTTTACAAAAATGAATAATCATTAATTATAACTAAATATTAATAAACTTACGGATGTTCAAGCCATCTTAAGATTGTTTTTGAAAAAGAGAAACGCGAAATACTCACCATGATGATTGCCGTGTGAAGAAAGTTCCGTAATGGAAGACGTTAAAATTTCTACTATAGAAATCCTACGTGAAGAGTAAAAAGATGGTGGAGCCACATAAGCTACATCTAGTTGCTGAAATATGAACTATAAAACGTAGGATGAAATAAAAATAATATTTTTAAAAGAAAATTAAAATACTTTCATAAATAATTTCGATAAATGCAAATAATTCCTATTGTTCTACATATTGTTAATGCTTCATTTAATTTTTTGAACATTGTAAACCGCTTTAAGTTTAGATTTAAGTCGATTGGCTGAGAGAATTTGGAGAAACACCAATCAGAAGGAATAGAATTTATTAACACATTAGGGCAATTTCATGCAATAGCAAATGAGAATAATTTGTCCAAAAAAATGATATTATATATAAATTTATTTATTTATATTCGATTAATACTATTAAATAATAATTAATGTATATTAGTATACAAAATAATATTTTCTAATCTCAATATAAACAATTACGTTCTCATTAAACTAACAAAAATGTAAGTACATATACATGTATATAATGTGTTTATATATATATATATATATATATATAAGTGAGAGGTTAACACATAAAATTATCGTGATCCTAAGAAACGAAGACAATTTTAAAAAGCAAATCACAAAGAAATTACAAATTTAAATAATATATGTATATAATAGAATCTAGTATCGTAAGAATAATAAAAAATTATCTTATCATCGTTTGTTATCTTCGAACCAATTCTTTCGTATATTTGAATAATTCCCTTTGTATTTTATTTTCTGTAGAAATATTGTAAAAACATTGAGTAAGCAAAGTACGCATTTAATTTTGTTTCACAATTACTGATTTTTAAAAATTGAAACATTTTTGTTAATAAATATTCTAATGTACGATATTTCTTGATTGTAATAATAATTATCAATATCATACTACATTATATATATATATGTATATGTGCGTATATATGTACGTGTATGTATGTATGTATGTGTAGGTATACGTACGATATGGGGTTTTGTAACTAATGCATGTCTATACGAAGTATACATTCGAACCAAAATTTACGGTTACGATACTAGAAGCTAGTATTCGATGAGAGAGAAAGAGAGAAAGAGAGAGAGAGAGAGAGAGAGAGAGAGGTAGAGTATCGATATAAATATATCAAAACAGTGTATCCATTTAATTCGCTAATTCCAAAAGGTAGACACTTTCCCGATTCCACCAAGTCAAATGGAAATTTTAAAAAGGAAAGATAAATAGGCACGAACTTGGCGTCTACTGTTTGGTGTAAATTTTCCTCTAAATAAATGGATCAAATATATGTATACACATACATACACGTATATATATAATATATATATCAAAAGTAGTACAGCGTACAAAATATTCTCAACTTTCCATATCGATCGATGGACATTGTAACTGATATTAAATAAAATAACTGACAATGTATGACGAACGTATAATAATTGTTATCTCGTTCTATATAAATTGTAGTATACAAAAAAAAATGAAGAAAGATAGTTCCTGTAGATAAAAAAAAATTCTGAGACACTGTAACTGTGATAGTGAATAAAATAATCGACAATGTATATGAACGAGAAAATAATAATAGTAGACTCGTCTCGTATAAATTGTAGTTAATAAAAAATAGCAAAGATCATTTTCGTAAGTAGAAGAATAATTTTTCCAAAACAAGAAAAGGTGTAGGAAGAAAATAATAATAAATAAAAAAAGGAGACTATAGGAAAAGTAAAATAAAGAAAAAGGAAAAGGGTACGTTATCATTGGAGTATCATCATCGGATATATAGAGAAAGAGAAAATCGTATTCAAACGTTGGAGGGTTAGTAAGAGATGGTTGGTAGGAAAGAGGGAAAGAGGAAAGGGTGAAGCGGGTGGTAGTAGCAACGTGGTCCCGTCTCACCGTACCCCCCACCGCTTTACGAAAACTTAAAAATGCCGCCGCAACGCAACCCGAATCGATATTCGCCGGTGCGCTCACGTGTCACGGTCTCGGGACTAACGGACCAATGAGAATCGAGCTCGGGTCAGGTTCGCTCCGCCTGTGTGCTACGGAGCACTAGGTACGACATCTGAGTTTGGGCAGGCGGAACGACAGTTCGCGACTGGCAGCGCAACAGTGGAGAACGTTTGTCGAATGTGTTACCGGTTTCTGACGTTGATCCCGCTACACGAGTGACCTCACGAACGATTATTATTTCTTCATCGTATTCTATAAGATCTATGGTTGGTTTTATAATAACCTCGGTTAAATTCACGTTAATCTGATAAATCATCGTTAAACAATCTCATTTTAAATATCGTCGTGATCAACGTCTGATAGCTGTCATCGATAATAGTTGACGTCGTTGTACTTCTTGTTGTTATTGAGAAAACTCGTTGAAATATCGATAATCGAAAGAATGATCTACGAGATCTAAGGATCGAAGGCACCGTTATGTTCATGATCCTCGTCACGTGCTGCTACTATCGCTGCTCATCGTGTGACGAAATACTTCAGAAAATATAAAGAACGAGAGATTAAAGGAAAAGAAAAAACAAAAATTAAAAAAAGAATAAGAAGGTGTAGAAATATATTTTTCTTCTCTTCGATCATATATATATATTTTTTTTCTCTCTCTCCCTCTCTCTCTCTCTCTCTCTCTCAGCGTGTGCATTTGTAAGACATTCGACGAGGGCAGCGCGTAAGCAGCACGTCGCCGTCACGGCGGCGGCACACATCGAGTAAGTGAGTGAGAGAGAGAGAGAAGAAAAAAAAGCAGATACATTCATACATACATATATCATTCACATATATCTATATATATATGTATATATATATAAAGAAATACAGAGGGAAAGAAAAAAAAGAGAGAAAACAAGACGACACACAAGTGTGCGTAGATCGCGTCGTGCGTGCGAGAAGGCGGCTTGGCAGCTAGTGGTGAGAAAGAACGAGAGAGTAGAGGAAGTGATATCGTGCTGTATATACTACAGAGACAGAAAGATAAAAAGAGAAGGAGAAAGCAAGAGAGAGATAGAAAGAGGGGAAAGATAAAAAGAGAGAGAGAGAAAGGCGCGCGCGTTTCCTTGAGCAAGAAAGAGAAAGAAATAGTGAGAAAGAAGAAGGACAGCGGCGGCGGAAGCGAAAGAGTCTGAAAAGAGGTGGAGAAGAAGTGAGAGAGAAGGAAAGAGTTAGAGGAGGAGGACGAGTAGGTGGCGGTGGGGCGGGGCACGGGGAGTGTCGAAGGGTTAGAAGAGTGAGAAGGAGGGCCAACAGAATGTTGGAAAGAGAGAGAAGAAGAGAACGGTCGGGACAGAGCGAGCGTTGAGCGACGGTGGGGTTGGTTGCGGGGTGGAAGAGGAGGAAGAGCCAGTAGTAGTGTAGTAGTAGAGTAGTAGTGGTGGTGGTAGAAGAGGAGGCGGATGAGGAGGAAGAGGAGGAGGTTGAGGTTGTAGGCGCAGAAAAAAAACGAAAAAAGGGATAGAGAGAGAGAGAGAGAGAAAGAATACGACAGAGTTTTACATGTGGCCGACGATCAACACGAGAAAATAGTGTCGAACTTTGTGTGTATCGTCGTACTCTGATATACTCTACTCCTAAAATTTTGAAGTGGACGACTCTTAAGAAACGTAAAAAAAAAGCGAGGAAAAAGGAGAGACTGTATCAAGTATCGAATCATGCTTCCGTGATAACGACGCATTCCAAGAGAGTACATATCGCATTGGTTCGTAAGTACATTTAAGTTTAATCGAAAGTCTTTGGGACCTCCGAGAGTTAAATAGGAATACGAAGAGAAGTAGGAGAAGGACTGGGTAAGGTATTTAAGGCGAGAAAAGGCGTTATGCCGGTGCTGGTGCGTTACCACTGAATTCGCCTTAGAGTCGTGTTGAAGAGAAAGAGAAGGAAAGAAGACGGTGTGGCAGCGCGTGTGCGTTAGTGCGTGCGCGTGTGTTCGTCTTCGTCGTCTTCGTCGTCGTGTCGTCGTCGGGGCATACATGTACGGCCAAGGAAGTACATACATATATGTATACGCCTAGAGAAGATCGGTGGAGGAGTGAGGCGTTGGAAGGGGAGAAAAGGAAGAGAGGAGGAGGTGGTGGAGGAGAGTTGGCCGTGTCGGCGGCGGCAGTAGCAAGGGTTGGGGGGCTGGCGGGGGAGGTAGAAGCCGAGGAAGAAGAGGAGGAGGAGGAAAAGGAGGAGGAAGTAGTGGTGGTAGAACGAAAGAAAGCTCGCTTGGAAGAAGCGCGTAGTGCGATCGGCAAGATGGAGGAAAGTCAGCTGTTGATGACGGAACTTCCGGCATTAACGCCAAGCCGAGGTACGACGCTGTTGCATCGTCCTGGTCACTATTATCATTTGCATCAGCCACACTTAGCGATACCGAACGCTCAGAGCCAAGCGAGCCAAGCCATACTTCATAACTCGTCCAACATGCCGCATTACAATAGCGAAGCGACCAGTTTGCCAGCATACGTTCAAGGTATCTCCTCGAGACAGCTGCCGCACGTACCGCGTAATGTGGCCTCGGCTAGCACGCATATATCCTCCCTCTATCCAGAGATATTAGCGCTGATCTTTAGTTACTTGGATGTTAGGGACAAGGGTAGGGCGGCACAGGTGTGCACCGCATGGAGAGACGCTGCTTATTACCGATCGGTTTGGCGAGGGGTCGAAGCCAGGTTACACCTGAGGAAACAGGCACCGGCGTTGTTCTCCAGTTTGGTAAGAAGAGGAGTTAAAAAGGTTCAAGTGTTGTCCTTGAGAAGAGGTTTGAGCGACGTACTAAAAGGCGTACCAAATCTTGAAGCTCTAAATCTCTCCGGTTGTTACAACATCACCGATTCCGGATTGTCGAATGCTTTCTGCCAAGAGTATCCGGCGTTGACCGAGCTCAATCTGTCCCTTTGCAAGCAAGTGAGCGACGCGTCCCTCGGCAGGATAGCGCAGTACCTTAAGAATCTCGAGCACTTGGAACTGGGCGGTTGTTGCAACATCAGCAATACTGGTCTCCTCTTGATCGCGTGGGGTCTTAAGAGACTGAGAAGGCTCGATTTGCGAAGCTGTTGGCACGTATCCGACCAAGGAATCGCCCATTTAGCTGGACTCAATCGGGAAACCGCGGACGGTAATTTAGCGTTGGAACATCTAAGTCTCCAGGATTGTCAGAGGCTCAGCGATGAGGCGCTCAGGCACGTATCCGTCGGCTTGACTACGCTCAAGTCGATCAATCTATCCTTCTGCGTGTGCATTACCGATTCCGGTGTTAAGCATCTAGCGAGAATGTCCAGTTTGCGAGAACTCAACTTAAGATCCTGCGACAACATATCGGACATCGGTATGGCTTATTTAGCGGAAGGTGGGAGTAGGATATCATCCTTGGATGTGTCCTTTTGCGATAAAATAGGTGACCAAGCCCTGGTACACATTTCCCAGGGCTTGTTCAATTTAAAATCCTTATCGTTATCCGCTTGTCAGATAAGCGACGAGGGTATATGTAAGATCGCTAAGACTCTCCACGACCTAGAGACTCTGAATATCGGTCAGTGTAGTAGGTTGACGGACAAGGGACTTCATACCATCGCCGAGAGCATGAAGCACCTTAAGTGCATCGATCTCTACGGATGCACGAGGATAACGACCAATGGCCTGGAGAGGATTATGAAACTACCGCAGCTGAGTACCTTGAATCTTGGTCTCTGGCACGTGCGGTGATGGCTTTCTATTAACACATTGCCGCCCAGTAAATTACCAATACAACAACATTTGTTCCCGGCCGAACCTTGCCGCCAACAACAACAACAACAACACGACGACGTGGTGTAGTATTTATCCTTATATACACACACATACACACACACGAATATAAAATAAGCGCATACTACCAGCGTATTTACGACCTTTTATCAATCGTTTTATTCTCGATGATTGAAACTACCCGCGTGTTGTTGTCGTCTTGCTTTTCTCTTATAGTTGTCCTTCCCTTGTACTTCTCCTCTTCCTATTCTATCTTTTTATCTATCTTTCTCTACCGGACGGCAATGTGTTAAGAACGTTCGAGATCCATGGAACTCTGGTGCTTGGCCTGGATCTTACTAATATAAATCTCACGACAGTCAGTAAAGTCTTTGAAAGAAACGATCTAAAGTCATCCCTGATTTGCCGGACCTCGAACGTCTTCGAGCCCAATCGTCTTTGCCGCCATCGTCGTCGTCATCGTCACCGTCACCGCAATCGCCACATTTTTAATAACTTCATCATATTTTAAAAAACAAATTGGGTATTCTAATACCCAACGACTAAAAGACAACGAAATGAATGAACACGATGAGAAAAACGAAGTCTTCTCTCGAAATTGTTCTGATTTTTCGCAACTCTGTAATGTTTTCCAACTTTCTTCCATTTTTTATTATTATTTTCTTTCTTTCTTTTTTTACGAATTGCGTTGTTTGTTGCCAATCCTGCTTGGCAAACTTTTCGACATTTTCTTGAAGGAAAAAGAAAACCTATTTATCGATCGACATCGTTGTACGTCACACGAATACACCTACGTAAATCTGCTTTGTGTCTGTGTGTGTATGCGTGCGTGGGCTTATGCGTGTGCGTGTAAGCGAAAGTAACTAAATTTTAATTTCTTTCTCTTTTATTATATATCATTTTTTTTCTTTTTTTTTGTTTCTTCCCTTTTTTTCATACCATTGATTCGGCAATAATTTTCATTCGTCGATACCGCCAATAAATTCGACCTCTCGGTCTTTTTCGGGCCGATTGGTGGAGGTTTGTTGCATGGTGTAGAAAAAAAAAAGAGAGAAAGAGAGAGAGAGAGAGAGAGAGAGAGAGAGAGAGAGAGAAAATCCGAGCACGTTAGGTTCTACGCTCTTTTTACATACACACAACACACACACACATAAAAAACATCCGTACACGTGCATGTATGTATATGTATATCTATATTTTTTATTTGTTATCTTTTTTTTCTCTCATTTTTCCCTCTTTCGTAACTCGATCGTTAAAAAAAAAGTAAAAAAAAAAAAAAAAACAGGCACAAGCACAAGCACGTACACGCACGTACATGCATATATACGCGCAGAGGCAACACAAAAAGAGAGAATCATGCTCAGTAATGGTAATCTGTCTTATAAAATTGCAGTTTTTTGTTTGTATTGTTATTGTTGTTGCTGTTATTGTTGTTGTTGGTTGGTCGCATTGCTGTTGTTGTTGTCTGCTGTCATAATTATGCGCGTATGTAGTGCTGCTGTTGCTGCTGCAGTTGTTGGTTGTTGTTGTTGTTGTTGTTATTGGTTTCTTATTTTTTTGTTGTTTATTCTTTTTATTTTACTATACTCGAACACACGATTGATGAACGAGAGAAATGCATTCGAGTGAGATATAAAGTTGGCGTAGAAATTCTGTCTAAAACATTGAATATGCACTGCGATAATGTTGCACCACGTATAACATGGGTATGCATATGTATGGGGAGGGAGGGGAGAAAAAAATAGCATTATGCTTATTCTTCTTTTTCTTCTTCTTCGTTCGTTCCTTAGATATTATTTCGGTTTATAAATTCCGTGGTCATTGGTGAATTAATTTGCAAATTTCTTTCATTAAAAAGTCGAATTACGAACGTTAGGTTACGTCAGGAGTAGAATTGCGATAGAAGAAAATGGAATGCGCAACACGCGGATATCGCATAACAAAACGCCTTCTTTTTTGTTTTATTTATTTAAAGATATCAAAGGAGGAAAATATAAGAAAATAGATAAATATTTTGTTCATTTAGTAAAGGTTTCCGTGGATAATTCTCAACTGTATACGAACGAACGTACGAATAAATCAACGAACGGTAGAACCCGTCAAAATTTAACCTTCGATTAATCAAACTTTCACTTTGATCGATATGGCTTTTTTTAAATATATATATATATATAACAAATTAACACATACTACGATAATTCAAACAAATCGTAAGTTACGAAGAACGAATCGATCTTACAAATTTTCTTTTAAACTTTTTTACCGTACTTGGCTCAGGGCCAATAACCTTTTGATCAAAGTAACAGATCACAAGAACCGAATTAATTTCCAACGTCCCGTTAACAATGTCTCGAATAATAGGCTGATCAGGACAAGTAAACTATTACAATTTGACAAATTTTCCTTACATGTGCTTATGTATGTGTGAATGTGAATATGAATGTGAATGTACCAAAGGGGAAAAGAGGATCCCAGGTTGTCTCTTGTTGCTCTCTCCCCTCTTTTCTTCTGTCTCTTTTATAAGTCGGTGATTATATTTCGCATAGTGCACCATCTCGAAAGGAGATAAAGCATATGTCAGGTGGACATTCCCCCGTTTTTATGCGGACGTACGCTCGATCGCGTAGCAACTCGTTATTACGGCCGGCTGGTTGGTTGGTTGGTTGGTTGGTTGGTTGGCTAGCTGGCTGGCTGGCTGGCTGGCTGGCTGGCTGGCTGGCT